AAGGGGCCAAGTTAGAAGCTGAGGCCAGCTGCCACTGGTGTGGGGCTAGGGACTGCTCAGCAAGAGGTACAGGGCACACTGAGGCTAGATGCTGCTTCCTTGGGTTTTGTGAGCCTTTGAGAGACTTTACGAAAGTTCACAGCAGGAGACAAGACAGCCTATTTTTATGGAATAAATCACTGGAAGCAGCTTGTGTGGGCCCACAAGTTGGGGGAGGCAGAGTCTCAGGGAATCCCCTGGGCAGAGCAACTTGTGTTATCCAGGTTGATGGTGCCTGCTTCTGCAGGCTGGGAGAGGGGAGGGCTCAACAAAGGAACAATGGCTTCTGCCTGCACTTCTGTCCAAGAGAAACCCACCCCTCCAGCTCTCGCCCTGGAGCCCTACCATTCAGAGCCTCCCCGTATGTCCCTGACATCCCTTGAGCAGCTCCCCTGGCACTAGAGCTCAGAGCAAGCGAGTCCATCAAGTAAGACCAGGCGCAGGCCCTCTATGAGAAAAGTCTCTGCTTTCTGCAGCCCTCCGTCTTACTCAGCTTTAATCTTGGCTGGTTTTCACAGCCAAAAATTGTGAGGACTTCTCTTTCTAGCACTGGAACCCTGGGCTGGGGAGCCCAGTGTGTGGTCCGTACCCACTGCTCCTCAGGAGGGGGAGGTAGCTCTGAAACTAAGATAGCCCTCTTGATAGTCGATCGCCACACGCATTTGTGGGACTGGGCCGTTTCGTGTCTCCGCCTCTCCTACTGTTTTGAGGTGACCTGTTATTTGAAGTGACCTAGTTGTAGGGCTTCTGACCAGCCAGACCTCTGGTGACTCCACTTATTGGTTGCTCTGTAATTTTGTTATGATTTTGGTGTGGTCACTAGAGGGGGTGTGCACAGCCTCTACCTTCTACACCATCTTGAATCCTAGATATACTTTTTGTAAAACGACAAGTTGATCAGTATGAAAAGATTTCAATTTTTCTCAGGTTTGTCCTTCTTGACCAGTGCTACTACATAGTTGGCTAAGGCTGAAGGGTCAGCATCACATAACAGGTCTGGTAACTTGGCCAGCCAGGACTTAATGGCATCCATATCCTCTATGAGCATAGTGCAGGGATGGCAGGCTTGGCACCGCTTGGAATTGATTTTGATCTGTGATGTTTAATTCAAATTTAGTTACAGAAGGAGAAATGTGTACCTTTCTTATGCTGCTAACTGATGTGAAATAAGATAGATTTCTCTATGGTATATATATGTGGGGGCAAAGGAGTAAGATAACTGCAATAATGTGGAACTACTATAAATAATATGAATACTGTGAATTTAACTCTAAAATTTGCCATGGAAAATGAGTACACATGTACAGTAATCTCCTTTTATCTGAGGGATATGTGTTCCAAGATCCCTAGTGGATTCCTGAAACTGCAGATAGTACTGAACTCTGTATATACTGTTTTATCCTTTATATACATACCTATGATAAAGTTTAATTTATAAATTAGACACAGTAAGAGATTAACAATAACAAAATAGAACATTTATAACAATATACTGTAACAAAAGTTATGTGAATGTGATTTTTCCCTCTCTCAATGAGAAACTATATTTCTTAATATAGTTAATGGCATTGTGAGTCACGTGCTTTTTCCATCCTAAACCCTTATCTTCTGTATGCCTGATCCTTTAATTGAAAAGTCTTATGATGTAAGATAACGGAGCTTCAGGTCTATAACCATGAGGACAGTAGGTTTGGGTTGGACCTTAGACTAAGGATAACATCTTGGCTTTAGATGTGTTTCAGCCCGAGGCCTACTGAGGTGGAACAACAACTCCACCATCCACAGGACCAGATGGGATGTCACCAAGGCTGATTCCAGAATGGAAACCATGATCAATTATGTCATCCCTCTTCAATCATCCAATCAGGAGCACCCATGACTTCAACTCCTTTAGTTTCCATGACTACTGATTTTTCCCTATATATTCTGTACTCCAGACACACCTGGGTGGCCAGGCCTTTGAGCGATAGCTTGCCTGTATCTCTGGGACTTGCGACTCTCTAATAAACTTTACTTTCTTTGCTATAAAACCTGCACATATCTCTTCCTCGGCTTAGATGTGTTCAGGCAGATTGACCCCTTTTTTGTCCCGATAACAGTAGAATGAATTTCTTTTTTTTTCTTCACAATTTTATAAAGATTTATTCTTACCTTAGATATTAGCAAACTCAGCATACAATTATTTTTCTTAAAGGAAGCACTTCAAAGCTTCTCTTTGGCATATCCAAATCGCCAACATCACTACTCTCGCACTCTGAGACCACTGTTAAGTAAGGGTTACTTGAACACAAGAATTGCAATACCAGGATAGTCCATCTGATAACCAAGACAGCTACTAAGTGACTAAAGGGTAGGTAGCTTATAAAACTTGGGAGATAAAAGGATAATTCACATCCTAGGTGAGACTGAAAAGGGCAGTGAGAGATTTCATCATGTTACTTTGAATGGCATGCAATTTAAAACTTATGAATTGTTTAATGAATCTTCCATTTAATATTTTCGGACCTCGGTTGACCATGGGTGACTGAAATCTCAGGAAGCAAAACCGCGGATAAGGGGTCACTACTGTACATTATCTAAAAGAGACAAAATAGCTCCCAGGCCCATATGACTTGGCTATAATCTAATTGAAAATGTTAACAGATCTATTTTCCAACATGAATAGGTAACATGCAAAAAAAAGAAGCTGGACCATCTTCTTACACCATATACAAGAATAGACTCAAAATGGATTAAAGATTTAAATGTAAGATCTGAAACCATAAAACTTTCAGAAGAAAACATAGGCAGTAAACTAATATTACTAACAGGAATTTCTTTTCAGATATATCTCCTTGGGCAAGGGAAACAAAAAAATAAATAAACAAATGGGACTACATCAAACTAAAAAGTTTTTGTACAGTAAAGGAAACCATCAACAAAACAAAAAGACAACTGACTGGGAGAAGATATTCACTAATGATACATCTGAAAAGGGATTAAATTTATAAAGAACTTTTAAAATTTATAAAGAACTTTACAACTCAACAACAAAAAAACACCAATCCAATTAAAAAATGGGCAGAAGACCTGAACAGACACATCCAATCAAAGCTGCGCAGCTACATCCCCATCAGCATCTTCACTGATCAATCAGGACAGTATCTTTTGAATCAATCAAACTGCAAGGATTTGGAGTTCTCATTTTTATGAGGATGGACCAATGAGGGACCAGTGGCAAGGACTTCTGTCCATATAAGTCAGCTCCCCTCTAGCTTGGGGAGCACACTTTTCCTTTCCACCAAAGACAGAAGAGTGTGTTCCCCTGACTGGAGCTGAAATTAAAACACTGGAGCTGAAACTGAAACACTGAAGACATCTTCCCAGAGTAGAGTGGAGCAGACCAGGGCAGAGGTGCCTAGCCAGAGAGGAGCCTCGGCCCAGGGCCACCTTGCAGCCATGCTGTGTTACTTCATAATTGAGCTGCAACACTACTGAGCTGTTCTACAATCACGCTTTTTTCACAGCCATGATGTATCACAACTGAGCTATTAGCACTGAATAAAGTTTCCTTTTTCACAGCTCCCCAAACTGGGGATTCCTGTTGGCATTATATTGGTGCCAATGACCATTGACAGACACCATTTAGAATAGTATTTTTTTAAATGTGGGTTGTGACCTACTGGTCTGTCTTTGCTTAGCATTTTACAGCTTAACAGTAAGATTGTTATTTCTTGTCATTTATCCTGCTTAGTATTCATTGGGATCCTTAAATCGGAGAACTTGTGTCTTTCATTAATTCTGGCAAATTTTTAGTGGCAACTAAGGATATTGCCTCATTCCTATTCTATGCTTTCCTTCTAGAACTCTGATTAGATCATATAATCTCTTATTTTTCCTATATCTTTTTTCTCTGTGTATGGCCTTCTATATAGTTTCTCTAACTTTGCCCTACATGTAGGTTTAAAACATCATTTAATTTTTAAGTACTATAATTACATTTTCATTTCTGATATTCTAATAGGTTCTTATTTGAATGTGCCTGGTCACTTTTATAGTCTATTATTCTTTATGTTTTAGAATTGATTTTTAATTTATTAAACATATTAAACATTTTATGCATTAGATAACTCTAATAGGTAAACTCTCTATAGATATTTTCGTTGTTTGTGGTTTCTGCTCTTGTTCATAGTGTTTTGATCCTTTCCCCTTATGTTTTCCAAATTTTTACATGTATATAAGCATATTTGTTAACATATATATAGTTAACAACAATTTTAACTTATATAAGCTTATTTGTTAGCTTATATACATATTTCTATATAATTTAACTATGATTATTTGATAACAAGGTTGATAATTCCCTCTAAGGAGGATTTATGATTGTCTGCCTGGTACCAAAGAGCATTACAGACCCAACTCCATTTTAAATTAAAATTCTCCATTTCTGGAATTTTAGAGACCATGAAAATAATGTAATTTGAGGCCTCAAATCCAAATGAATGTGAGCTGGTAATTAAGAATTATTATGAGAGATTTTAATTCCACCCAGGGCTTGTATGTTTCTCCAAAATGGTCCCTGATCAGGGCCCCTACACTTTGCAGAAGCCAAGGAATTTTCCCCAGCCCCCATTCCTCACCAGGTACAAACTTCTGTGCCAACAGAAATCCATGGGTACCCCAAAGTTTTCAGTGACTTTGGCACTTGCTTACCTCACAGAATATACTTATTCTGTTTTTAGCTCCAGAAAGTTTCTCTTATTTTTTATGAGTTAATCCATTCATTTTAAAACATTTTTTAATACTGAATCTAGTATTTTACATATTAGGTAGAAATGAAAGTCTATTTAATACTTCTACAATTGCTTTGTAAAATTTAAATAGGAATATTGTATTTATTCTTGATAAATTTTTTTTAGTGTTACTATAGTCTACAAGTCTGTCAACATTTACAGTCTTGAATGAGTTATTATATTAGCTTACCTTAGAAGTTGTGTGTCATCTGCAGATTTGTTGCAACTTTCTCAGCCTTCACCAAAGTCACTGATAAAAAGTTTCTGAAAAAAAGAAAAGCTTCGAAATTAATTCTGAAAATCTTTACAGGAAATTCAACATATTTTCTTATTGTAATCAGGCATATAGAATTACGAATTAAATTTCCATCATAATCATATACAGATAAATCAAATTAAAATAGGAAAATCTTCCTACCCCAACTACTTCAACTGGTAGATCCTTTAAAAAGTAGTATTGAATCGAGTGAAAATATTTTATCATCAATGGGAACCAGCAGAAGTGTGAAGGTATGGCTTGGGGGAAGGAAACTCTAGCACCTCTCAAATCTCCTTCAGCCCTCGTCTTTCACAGGCAGAAACACAACTTATTTAAACTAGTATCTTAAAAGCTAAAGTTTACAAAAAGACTGTGGAAAGCTTAAAAGAGCTTTGAACTATCACAGAGGGAAGCTCTGAAGAGCTTTTTGCTTTTAACAGCATCATGAAAACCCATGCCTACTAGTTTTTTTTTTCTTTAGTGCTTTGTCATACTTTTAGTTCCCATCTCTTACTTATTTTAATCATCAATGAAACTTTTGTAAAATTATCTCCAACATCAACATAAGGACTTGTGCGTGTGTGTGTGTGTGTGTGTGTGTGTACATTTTCTATCAGAAATAAGAGAAAACTTACACTTCTCTCCTTCAGTACATTGCTCTTGCATGAAGAATGTATAAACCACTAACTCTGGGACTGCATCTTTATTTTCTGAGCAGCAACTACAGGTTTAAACACAACATTTAGCTCTTGATGTTCTTTCTTCTCAATATATGATGCAATAACGCAGTAGAAAAAGCACATGCTTTAGGATCACACAGATGTGGGTTTAAATCTCAACCTCTCTGAACCTCTATGGAAAATGGTATCATGAGCCTTAATGGGTAGCAGCAAGAGCCAAATGATATTGCATATAGATGTGCCTAGCACAGTTCCTGCCCTATAACATCTACTCTATTATGTTAGCTGTCCTGTGTAATTTTGTACTTCATTTCTACTTTACTCAATCTGTTAAAGGACTTTCCAGACTAAATTTAGGTTATAAGAAAGTTTATATATAAGTTGATATGTCAAATAAAAAGTTGATAAGGTTCTAAGCTTTTTCAACAATTATTAACATTTTGCAGCACTTATTTTACCCAAAAATTATACATAAAATACTTTTAAAATAGCAATACAATACTACTATTGAATATATTTCATTAAGAAGGCACAGTCCATACAAATTTATGCTCTAAAGTCACTAGAAATTGTTCCTTTTCTTATGTGGTATGTCATCAAAATGCTATATAGTTACGTAAATGTATTTCAGCTCCTTTTTAGATTTTTCTTTTCTTTCTACCTTTTTATATAATATTATTTTTTAATATGTAAACATATGTGATTCCAAGATCAAAACTATATAAACAAGTTATAGAGAAATCTCTCTTACACCGTTAGCACCTCTCTCATTACCTTTTTCTTCACATAGATTACTCTATATACTGTTCCGTGCCTTTGTTTTTTTTTTTTCCACTTCATAATATATTCTGCAGATCATTCTATATCAGTACGTGGAAACTTTCCACATCTCTTTATGACTTCTGGGGAAAAAGGGTAACTTGAAAGGAACACCATCTACCTGGAGATTGTTCCACTGTTGAATATACTTTAATCAGTTCCCCATTGATAGGCATTTTGGTTGTTTCCAAGCTTCTGCTAACACAACTAATGCTGATGTAAGTTACCTATACAAATGTCAGTTTACATTTTATGCCAATGTGTCTTTAAGAACAAATTCCTATAAGTTAGATGCCTGGTTGTAGGATAAATGCATATACAAATGAATATTGCTAAATTCCTCCTCAGCTTTGTGCTTTTGTATCCCTACCAGCAATGCATTAAAGTACCTATTTCCCCACAGTCTATAGAGTATATTGTATAACTTTGGATTTTGGTGAGAAAGGCTTTAGTGTGGCTGTAATTTTTATTATAACTTTCATTTGTATTTCTCTTTATATGACTAAAGTTGAACATCTTTTATATGTTTATCATCTGCATAATAACAAGAGTTCACAGAACTCTTGTTTATTTTCTGTGAACTCTTGTTTTCATCTCTAGCCCATTTTTCCTTGATACTTATGAGGTTATTTTCCTTAAGGAGATTAGCTCTTTGTGGTGTAAGTTTAAATATTTCTTCTTACTCTTGTCAATTTTCTTTAGGCTTTGCTCATGGAATATTCATCATGTAATTTCAAAAAATACAGTGGGATTTATCATGGCTTTTATTTTTTTTCTGGGATTGAGTCATAGTTATAAAATCTTTGGCTTACAATTTCATAGGCCTTAAATTTGTACCATAGCTGTTTTGTTTTGTATGTTCCTGTTGAGAAGTGTGTTGCTAACCTCTTCTTTCTGCCTGGAAACCCAGAGGAATTTTTCATTATCTTCAAAGTCCAATAGTTTTACTGGGACGTGACTCAGAGCTGACCATTCTGGGTCAATTTTCCCAGTACACAACAAGCCTTCCCAATATGTAGATTTAAGCCTTCTGTTACCTCCAAAATGTTTTCATGGATTGAAGTTTAAATATTAGCTCTAGTATTTTTTCTTCTTCTTAGGAACTCTAATGTTACATACTGTCTATACCACTTTCTCTTTTTATCTTTCTTCATTTGAATTCTTTTGGCTGTCTTTTTGCCTTTTCTCAATGTCCCTTATATTCAGTCAAATTTATCCTTCTTCAGGTACCTTGAAGGTCAGCTTTATTTTAAAAAACGATTTTTCTTTTTTTCATTTCATTTCCTGAGTTTAGTAAATTCACTTTTCATACATTTTGTACATTTGTTTTGAGGTTCTGAATTTGAGTATTTGAGACTTCATCTCTGAAAATGCTTATTTAAGGATATTTATTTCTGGAAGTACAGAGTTATAGTTTTCTTTAGCTTCGTAGTTGAATGTTTTGGGACTTTTCATCAGCTGAAATATTTTGACTCTGATTTTAGGTTTTCTATTTATAGTAACTTTATATGGACGCTATCTACAAATTTCTGTTCATTTTAAAGTGTTTTAATTTTCCTAAACCAGATAACAGTAGTACATAAACGAGAGAGGGATTTGGAAAAATGACTGGATTTTTTGTTCAATAGCATCTTCTGTTGGTATTATAAAGTAGTTTTAAATCAATGACTTCTTTTTTGAATGGGAAAAAGGTTGATCCATCTTCTCTTCTGTTTCACCAAGATCCTTAATTTCTACTACTTTTTTTCTCTTTACCACCAAACCTCCAGGTAAGTGATGCTCCTTCCAAATCTTCTTTTCCCAGAAGCTGTGCTTTTCTGAGACTGCCTCTTTGATCCCAGACACTTTCACGTCCCCTCCTTTGTTTAACAGGTCTCAACCCTCTTAGTATTTCACTCCTTAGGGTGGGGCTCAATCTTAGTTACTTAATCTGCATTCTACTGACTGACCCTTGGTCCTGCTTACCTCTCCTCTGTTCTGAAGTCTCAACCTCACTTGCCACTTCAGCATAGGTTCCAGAACTATCTCTGCTACGCTTCAGTATTTATTTCCCTATACACCAATAATTTAAAATTATGTGAGACAGAGCTGGTGGTGGTTTTATTTGCTCTCCTTATAGAGTTGTATGGTTTCCTAAAGGTATATGGAGAGATCTGAATTTAGACAGTTGTCATCATCCTATGGAAACCTGCAGTCAGGTTTTTATCTTTTAATTTTAAAATTATTTTCTAGTTTTATTGCAGGTAGTCAGAATTTTGACTTTATAGTTTCTGGAACTGAGGTTTTCTTTGTGGTCTAATATATAATATATTTTTTAAAGTGTCCCATGTGCACTTGAAAAGATATGTTTTCTATTTGTGGATCTAGACAGATATAAATCTGTAAGAGCTACCTTGCTGATTATGTATCATGACTAATTTTTTTGTTGTCCACTTAACCTGACTTATTTTGAGAGAGGTGTGTTAAATTAGTCCTCTGTATTAGCAGGTTCTATTTCTCCTTATGTCTCTTGTAGTTTTTACATTACAAATGCTGTTGAAGTGTCATTTGGTAAATCAACATTTCAAAATACTTCATTGTGAATTTAGCCCTTAGCTTATAAAAATGTCCTTCATCTCAATGCTTTTTGAACTAAATTCTGCCTTGTCTGATACCAAGATGATGAAATCTGCTTTTTATTAATTTGCATTTATCTGAAACATCTTTGCCCTTCTTGTTTTTAAATTATTCTTTATTAATAATTCCCTTTTAGTCATATTTTTTACAGCTATACCTTTTGCATACAGCATCATTAAGTTAAGCCCATATATATTTACTAACACACCTGCTATTTTCGTTGTTGTGATATTCCATGTTCTATTTTTTGTCTGTGTACACTCAAATACATATACAGAAATGTATGCATATCACTAGGTGGTCTGTTTTATTTGCTCTTCTTAGAGGAGGTATTTCTTTTAGTATTTTGTTCTTGGGGTTAATTCTACAGTAATATCTTTATATAATATTGTTCATTCCCCTCCTCTCTTTTTAAGATTCTATTAGTTCCCTGCTATTAACAGTAACAAAATCAGTAACATCCTATTCCCTTCCTTCTTCCCCACCATCTAGTTTTGATCACTGGTTTTTTTATTAGTGTTTTATCTTATATATCTAACAGTATACTTACTTACAGCATGTTTAAGTTTCCATCAGTCAGCTTCAAATGCTATCCTTTTCCTCACTGCTAATTCCTGAAACAAACCACCACCTTATTCTGCTTTCCATTTACTCTTTCTCTTCCCAATTTTTTGTGAGCTATATTATTTCCACATTGTCAGACTATATAACATTTACATACCATCCTATCATCATTTCCATTTTTTAATCCTAGTGCTCCAAAAAAATTTATTCAATGCTCACCACCTGACTTTATGTTAATGGTTCTCCAATCATTTCTTGGTTGTCTGAAATTTGTTCTCTAGTATATTCTTAAGAAAGGATTCATAGAAACAATATTCTTTGAGTTG